ACTATATGCCCTTCTGCAGAAAATAGCGAAACTTTCCCGCCCCACTCCCTACCTTGCAGGAGTGTTTGGACGTTCCCTGTGTGGCGTCCCTGGATGCTGCTCCTCTGTGTGCCTTTATGTGGATGCAGTGCTAGTTTTCCATGTAAACGGAGCTGTTGATAAAGGTGGGATTGTTTTACAAATTGTTTTTTTTTCCTTAATACTATAGCCGGGCAGCATTTCAGAGAAGGTTAGTTAGATCATCCCTTAAAGCCTTTCTACAACCTAAGAAGGCAAGCAAGATGGTTTTTAATTCAGTGTCTGTTTTTACATCCCATGACTTCACGTTTTGTTGTGGTCCACTTGGGCCTCCTGATCTTCTGTCCTGTGGGAAAAGGCTGTGGGAGTACCTTTTCTGCCTCCTCCAGGTTCCCCTTGGAGCTAGCCTGTGCACTTGGCTTCCCCACCACCCCGAGAGCTCTTTAGGGTGAGGAGTCATGCTTTTCTCCACTTGGTGTCCCCAGGGGACGGGCTGCCCCTTGTAGGGCGGTGTTGTGGCTGTTGTAGGGGAGGAAAGGGCCACATGCAGTTCCAGAACACTGCTAGACATGCCGGTGTTAATTTAGTTGTTAATTACATGAGGAAACTAAAAGATAGAATCAGGTTCTATTTCAGATGGAAACAAGTTTGTTTAAATTTCATTATTTTTAATTATGTGTTTGCAAAAATGTCACCTTTGAAAGTCCCCACAGTGGCCTATCTCTGTCATGGCTCCCAGGGGCCAGCCGGTCCTTCCTGGCTGGGAGGAAGCTGAGGTTCTGTACGTCTCCCCTTGCCCTCACCACAGTCCAGGGGTGCCCTGTGAGTCACCCACCTCCTGGGAGCCAGCTGCTTCGAGGCAGCTTGGGCATGTCTTCGTGGCCCAGAAAGAAATCTCTAAGCCCAGATCTCCCAAGGCCTGACAGCTCTTGCACACCCCCTCAGGCCCACAGCCCCGGCTGCCATTTCATTAGGCCCCTCCCTCCATCGATTGGCATCTGGTTCTGTCTCCCTGCTCTGCTTTCACCTGGGTACTGATCATTTTTTCCGCTGAATCGTGTTTCTTCCTTTGAACCGTGGGATTGCTTGGAATTACTGTGTCTGTGTTTTCCTTTCCCATTGGTGACCCTAGTTGAAAATTCTCTTTCCGTTGGTGTCAGTGCTGTCCTCGCTGTCCTCCTTTGGAGTGACACACGTTTTGGAGATAAATCTGACCTCCTTGTGGTTTAGTTTGGCCGGTGGTGCCCACCCCCATGCTAGTCGATGCAGGCCCCAGCCACGAGGCTCCCCAGGTCATGCCTCGCTCCCGTGTCTCCCTTCTCAGTCTCCCTCCCTCCTGGTTCCACGGGTGGCAGCGTGCCTGGTGGACAGTGTGTCCCTTTGGAGTTGGATGGTCCTAAATGAAAGTGTGTCAGGGCCGTTGGCCATCTCAGAGTGATTCAGAGCCCGTTCTCACGCCGGTGGACTCTCATTGGTCCTTGGGGCAGATGGTTTCGTAGACCAGCATCTCACAGGTGGAAGCCAGGCGAAGCCTGCTGACCTTGCCTGCAGTTCTGTCTTGGCCACGCATCCTGGGACGGGGCTCCTCTGGGTGGTCTTGGACCCCCAGGCTATCTCCCAGGGCCCAGACACACCAGCCCGGGAGGGTTTTCTGCAGCTCATCCTGGCCCTGACCCTGCTGTCACAGCCTGGAGTCCAGAGTGTCCTGTGCCACTCTGTGTGCCTTTGCCAAAGTGGGGGATGCTTTCTCTGGAGAGGGATATTTATCTCATTCTAACAATAAGGGTAATTCCAATTCTCTTGGCGTTTAGAAGACAAATCGCCTTGGGGGCTCTCTGAGTTAAATGCCATTACTTCATTACCTTGAAGAGTAACAAATGGCCCATTGTGAGAAATGACACCTAGAATAGGCCACTGACATTTCCTCAGGTAAAATAACAAGCCAGCTAAACAGACCAAGAGGCGACAGCCCAGCCTCGTCTGTGCACCTGAGGAGAGGCTGTTGCGGTCTGTGAGGCTTTGGTTCCCTGTTTACTCTTATTATATCTGAGGAAATGTCTTCATGCCTCGGAGGCCCTTGAAAGAGGGTACGTTGATGAGCAGCTTCTCAAAGCAGGCCGGCTGATTACTGAGGCTGATTCAGTTCCCTGAGATGGGGAAATAAAATCAGACCCACTCCAGGTCAGCAGAATGTTGCGTTGATTCTGCTGAAACTGTTTTCCCAGGGAGGAAGTGGTATCCTGGGGAGGCCACTCACACTCCCGTTGTGCGCCTGGCGTTTGCCGCCGCTCCTTCCCGTAGGAAAGGCATTACGAGGGGGCTGGACTTGGATCCAGGCTGCTCGCTCCACCACTGCCATCCAAAGCACACTGAGCAGTGCGTGGAGGCCTCGTTTCTGCATCTGTGAAGTGGCAGAGGTAATACCTCCCACCTTGGGCTGCCATGGGAAATGGGACACAGGGCCTTTCCCTGGGAGATTCTGTGGGGTTCTCATCACAGGGTGCGCTCAGATCAACCCGGGCTCCTGTGCCGGCAGAGTTCTGAGGCCAGACACCTTGCCGCCTGCTGGAGGGAGAGTCTGCAGCCCCACACGGGGCCAGTGTGTAGACAGAGCCACCAGGAGAGTGCCAGTGTCATGGACACGCCCGGGCTGGGAGGAGGGTCAGGACAGAGGAGGGTCGGGACAGAGGAGGGTCATGGCCAACCAGCAGCACTTGTCACCCTAGCCCCACATTCGAGGGAAAGGGCACGGGGACCTGCCTTCCAGTCCCTGGCTTGGTGAAAACACGGCCAAGAGAGTGAGGGCCTGGGTGCGCCCTGTGTGCTGTGGACAATGGCGTCCTTCACAAGCCTGGGTCCTGGAGGAGCCCATCCATTTCTCCACGCCACCTGGGTGACTCTGACACCCAGCACTGAGGTTTCCAATCTTTAAAGTCACTCGTTCTCCCCTTTAATTCATGAGCTTCCTGAGGGCATCAGGACTGTCACTCATTTCTGTGCCTGGTGTATAGGGATAGATCCCACACAGGGGACTGGCTGTCTGTGTCCACATTACCCCGCCACCCGCCGGTGTAGACAGCCCAGGGCTGACCAGCCGAGGAAGGCAGAGGCGCTGTGTGGCCTGGCTGTAGGGCGTGCCGCTCAGTCGTGAAGAGGAGTGGGGCACTGACACCGCCTGCTGCGGGGATGACTCTTGAGGACGTTGTGCTCAGAGAAGGAGCCAGTCATGGAGGGCCGCGGAGCCTGATGCCAGAGTGTGAAACGTCCAGAATAGGCAGCTCCATAGAGACAGAGGCGGGTTAGTGGGTTGCCAGGCGAGGGGTGGGAAGTGGGGAGCGACTGCTGAAGGGCCCGGGGTTTCTTTCCCTGGTGACGGAAATGCTCTGGAACTAGTGTGGTACGTGTGCAGCCTTGGGACCCCCTGAAGACCACTGCATTGCACATGCTACAGAGTGGATTTCGTGGCGGAGGAATTACCTCTCAGTTTACACAACCCAGAACCAAATCAAGGCAATCCCCATGGAGTGACTGAACACCCGCCCCCACCTCCCCAGAGAGAGAGGAGTGACTTCGAACAGGCTGGAAGCTGCCCACCCTCCCGCGTTCCCGCAGGACCTGCCACGTTGGATGTCCAGGGCTGTCACTTCCCTATCCAGGCCCTCACACGCCCAGCGGCTCACTCTTGCTGGAGGGTCAGACACGGAGGCGCTCTTCCCCTTTTATCCTGCTGGTTCTGGGGTGAACCAAGAACCGTGGGAGGTGGTGTGTCGTCTCGGCTCTCCCAGTCACACACTTCAGTGTGTTAGCGATGGGCGGGGCTGCGACTGAGGAACCAGTGTGATGAGGACTGCGCAGCAGCAGGAACTTGAGGTGGGCCTCTGAGTCCTCAGGGAGCAGGCAGGGACCTGGGTTCAGGGACCAGTAGGTGGGGCTGCCTCTGTACCCTTCTCCCCACGTGTACCAGGCTGCTCGAGATAGCCACGGCCCTGCCCTCCTTTACCTCGCTGTTGTCAGGGGCTCAAGGGTGGTGACGGCAGAGTGGTGACAGAGCTGGAAGGAGCGCGCAGGCTGACAGTGTGCGGGGGACGGCCCGGCCCTGGGCAGCCTGCGGTCAGCACCCGCAGCGCTCTCTTCCTCGTCGTCGTTGTGACTTCTATCTACTTAAACCTTTCTAAATATATTCTGGGCTGAAGTGTTTCTTTTCTTAAGGAACATTTTCCTTGCGAAGATGCCATGCAAATCAAACTAAAGTGAAAAAAAATTTATGGGGTAGATAATTTTTAAAACATTTCTGAGTATTTTGCTGGATGACAGCAGTTTTGTAAGGATCTAAAATTAGTTTGTTCAAGTATCTGATGAGCCATTTCAATTAGGCATCTGTTTTGCATTTTAAAAACTTTTAGACTCTGTTTTCTCTCTTTTTTTTTTTTTTTAATACTTTAAAAAGGAAATTATTTAGAGCACCATTGTCTGTTCTTTCTTGGAAGCACATCTGTGTTACGGCTTTCTGGGGTTTTTGATCATAGCATGGAAGTATTTACCCTGGGTAGTTTTGGAAACTCTTAACTTTGGAAAAAGGTTTTTAGAGGAATTATTGCCAATTGAATTTGTAAATATATCCGAAACAGAGTTTTCAAAATCTTATGAAAAACCTTTCAGATCTCTGTGAGGATTAAGTAATATATTCTGTTTTCTCTCTTATTAGGATGTGAAATGCCTGAGAAGCAATAATTTATAATATATTAATTATGTTAATTAATTGGAGAGGATTCAGAATATTAATTATCTGCAACTAATTAGGCATTAAGATTGAGAAGCGTTAAGTGATGAGGTGGAAGACTGCATGAGTCATTTAGCTAGACTGATGAGAGCGGGTGGAGGGAGCTGGAAGTGGGAGCAGCTCTGGCTCCGTGGGCCTCCTCGTGGGTCGCGGTCCCATGTGGCTAATTCTCCTTGTCTTTTGCATGCTCGGCGCCGCCCAGAGGCAGAGGAGGTGGATGCAGTGGACGTCTCTGGCGTGCCCACAGAGGTGCTGCGCAACATTGAAGCCGACACCTACTGGTGCATGAGCAAGCTACTGGACGGCATTCAGGTGAGCGCCCGAGGTGCCCATGGGGACCCAGCCCACGCCCACAGCTCTCGCGGTGAAGAGAGCCTGGTGCCTGGGCTGCTTCTGAGTCTCAGCGTGGCTGGACAGTCTCTTCTGAAGCCTCACTTTGTTACATCTGGACCAGCACAGACCCCTCAGGGTTGACGAAGTGTGAGAAACAGTGTGTGTGCCCTTGTTCTGGGAATGGTCACCATGTCCTGCTGAGCGCGCTGCAGGACGGCGAGGTTCAGAGTCTCATCCCCTCTACCCAGCTGTCTGCAGACCATTGCCACCACCGCCACCAAATGGGACAGCTCATGGTAGCTGCATGTGTGTGGCCAGCTGTGCTTAGCAGGATCCCCCGCTTAAAGGGCCTCAGATTGGGGGGCCGCAGCTCCTGGTCTTTAACACCAGGCTCTCGTCCTGTGGCCGGGGTTCCAGGTGCGTCGGACGCTGCAGCCGTGACCTCTCGTCCTGTGGCCGGGGCTCCAGGTGCGTGGGACGTTGCAGCCGTGAGCTCTCATCCTGTGGCTGGGGCTCCAGGTGCGTGGGACGCTGCAGCCGTGACCTCTCGTCCTGTGGCCGGGGCTCCAGGTGCGTGTGACGCTGCAGCCGTGCCTGTCCCCAGAGAGCAACATGAGCTGGTGGGGTCCCCTGCACCACGGGGACTCTGTGGGTCTGTGTCAGCTAGGGTTAGTGGCTGAGATTTCTGTAGAAGAGCCACAGGTCTCCCAATGACAGGGCTGATCCTATGGAATGGTGTCAGGGCAGAATCCACACAGTGCCTGGGAAGGGCCTTGTTGGTAGGCGATCAGGAATGAGGACTGGAACCAGCTGATACTACAGAGGAACAGCTGAGGGGGATGGACGGGCCCCCGAGTGGGTGGGGGGCATCTTAGTTTATTTGAGGCTGGCACATCTTTCTAGACACCTGCTTCCTGGGAGGTGCTGTGCTCCACACCCGGGAATAGTGGCGAGTAAGGGTGGGGCCTGCTCCAGAAGCTCACTGGGAGGGAGGGTAGACGGGTAATACGGCATGAGGGGACAGACACTTGAGCCCAAAGGTGGGAAAAAGTAGATTTCAGGGGACAGTGAATTTGCTGACAAAGCAAGACTTGTCAGACAGAGGACGGTCAAAGCCAGAGCCCAGTTTGGGTTGATAATCGTTTTCCGAGGGACCAAATGCCAAGGCTGTCGTGGGTCTTTGCAGGTAGGTGGCCCTCTGCCGAGAGCTGGGGCCTCCTGGGAAGGTCTCTGTGCTCTGCCAGCATCCCTGTTGTCCCAGCTAAAAGGAGGGCCTCATCTGAAAGACACAGAGACGTGGTTGGGTGTCACTTGTCACCTGCATTTCCTGCAGGGCGTGGCTCTTCCTGAGCCACTGTGGTAAAGGCTGTTCCTGATAGTGCTAAGTGAAGAGGTCTCAGCTGATCTGCATGATTTGAAATCATCTAATACGGCTTTTATAACATGAGGTCTCAGGTTTAGACTCCAAGTTTAATTTTGAATATTTTAGCTAAAAGGTTCTGTTGAGGAAAGACGTGTGGTTTGCTGTTAGATTTTGAAAGTAGAAGCCTGCTGTGTGGTTGGAGACTGGAGACCTGGTATCTGTTGGCTGATCCTGACTCTCTGTGACTGACTTTGTTCCTTGTAAAGAAAAATGTACCCGCTGGAGACATGTTTTGGCCCAAGCACCAATTTATCATTTCCTCTGCTTTGCTAATATTTTCATACATTTTATCTTTCTCCTAGACCTTTTGGCTTTTTGCCCCCTTAGAAAAAGGATTGAATCATAATGTAAAACTTTATAAATTTCAAATGTCACTCTTCTGATCGTGAGTGATGGAACTTGTGCCATTTAAATACAAGATTATCTGGCCTCTATTTGTAAATAGAATCCGCTGTACAATGGAATCGATGCTGGCTTTTCATTTTTCACCTGAGATTTGTGGTCTGCTGAAATGGTTTATCGGCAGGCCTGGCAGGTGGAGGGGATCCTGCTCTCCCGGCGTAGGTGTTTACGGTGCATCGTGGGCCCCTGGCAGCTGTTTATCTTTCTCTCACATGCCACAGCGGATTCCGCGTGACCCTCCGAGGAGCAGGAGTTGAGTGATATCCGTTCCCACCGTCCGGGGGCCTCGCAGCTCGGCTGTGATCGCTGTAGGCAGGGCTGCCCAGCAGAGCTCCTCTCGGGGACCGGTTAGTGTTTATAAGCACTGCCGCTGTTTTAAGTTCAGAGAAGTATGAGGACGTGCACTCACTTAAAACCAAGGCGACATGCGGGCTGGCGTGTCGCCCCCGGGGACCTGGCCGCCTCTGCCTCGCAGCTCCCCTCCCTCCTCTTGGTCTCACCGTCTGCGTTTCATTTTTCTTGGACCTGCTAGAACCATCTTCCTCAGGCACCCTTCTCACCATATCACTGCCCTGATTGAAACCCCTGGGAAAGCTCTTTCGTGGTTTTCGGAAGTGCAGGCTCTCAGCGTGGCCTCCGCCCACCGTTCCCAGTGTCCTGTCAAGGCCATGCTCATTCAAATCGGCTCTGTGACTGTCCTCGCCATTGCTGCAGACTTTAGTGGAGCCGCTGAACCAGAACCATATGCCCGGGGCTCTTCCTCACCAGGAGGAGGATCTTAAAGGGCCTCTTGATAGGTCGTCACCCTGGGAATGAGTATGAGGAACTAACACTGTCTCCAGCGTGACTGTGGTTCTTGGCATGGGCATTCACAGAACAGGCTGGGGTTTGGTTACACCCTGCACGCAAGGCTGAGACCAAGAGAGATGAAGCCCATTGCCCGGGCGACCTGCATGTTCTAGAACCCAAGTTGGCTGTTCTGTGTTCTTTCCTAGCTGAAATACAGAAGCGAGTTCCATTTGCAGGAGAAGTTCCAGAGGGCAGAAGCCACATCTGTCTATTTTTTTAACCCTTGGATGTCCTGGATAGTCATAACTATGTTTTTGGTTCACCTTGGAGCCTCAGTTTGAGATTCTGTATTCTCCTTGTTTTCAGTAATTAACTTGGTCGTTTTTGCCAGAATGTGTGAAGCACCTGCCCTGGACAGGTGCTCAGGGAGGTGGAAGACTTTGGGTGTGTGAGTCAGCATGACCCTGCTGTCCCCAAGAAGCTCAGAGCCTGGTGGGATGGAGCAGGGGGAGAGGACAGCTGATGGAGGCGAGGACAGCGTGCTGGGAGAGGAGGCTCTCAGCCTCAGTAAGACGGCACACTAGGAAAAAGAACAAGCCACTCTTCCACTGACAAATGCCTGGAAACATTAGGGGATTGAACTGGTCTGTTCTCACGCTACTTAAAGAAGTACTGAGACTGGGTAATTTTTAGAGAAAGAGGTTTGATTGGCTCACTGTTCCACAGGCTGTACAGGAATGATAGTGGAGGAGGCTTCTGGAAACTTTCTTTTTGTTTTGAGACAAAGTCTTGCTCTGTTGCCCCGACTAGAGTGCAGTGGCGCGATCTTGGCTCACTGCAACCTCTGCCTCCCGGGTTCAAGTGATTCTCCGGCCTCAGCCTCCTGAGTAGCTGGGATTACAGGCATGCGCCACCACGCTCGGCTAATTTTTTTGTATTTTTAGTAGAGACGGGGTTTCACCGTGTTAGCCAGGATGGTCTCAAACTACTGACCTTGTGATCCACCCACCTCGGCCTCCCAAAGTGTTAGGATTACTGGCGTGAGCCACCGTGCCTGGCCCAGAAACTTTTAATCATGGCAGAAGGTGAAGGGGAAGCTGGCATGTCTTACATGGCCAGAGAAGGAGGGCGAGGGGCAGAGGGAGGTGCCACACACTTTTAAACAGCCAGGTCTCAGGAGAACTCATGGCGCAACACTAGTGGGGATGGGGCTAACTCATTAGAAACCGCCCGCATGATCCGGCCACATCCAGCCAGGCCCTGCCTCCAGCACTGGGGATTACAGCTGAACCTGAGATTTGGGTGGGGACAGAGATCCAAACTGTATCAGCAGCATATAACCACGGCTGTCTAACGACCACGACTGCCTAATGCGCATCGCGGGACTGCTTAACAGCAAAGAGAGGTCCTCCAGGAGTGAAGAACGCTGACTCCACTGGCCGATGCTAGTGAATTGGAGGGAACTGTCCCACCAGCTCTTGGCTAGGAGTGCAGGCCGTCCTGCCCTGGCGAGGTGTGATCACAGAAGCCAGTCCTGTGCAGGGAGATCAGGTGCTGCCCACAGCAGAGACACGGGCTCTGTGTGGACATGCCCAGGCCTGTGCTCCTTGGGAGTCCGCACTCCGGACATTATGGAAGAACTTGAAGAGCTTTTGTTTGTGTGGGTTAATTCTCTTGATAGCTGCCATGTTAGAAATTCAAATAGAGAAAATTAAAAATATTTAGTAATTTATTTAAAAACGACAATGGAAAACCCATTACATATTATAAGTAACATTTTTATGGTAAAGTACTATTTTTCAAAACAAAAACATTTAGCGAGAAGAAAGACATTGTTTCACATTCCTGCAAATCTCCTTAATGTCTCACTTAATAGAAGAAGAATTCTCATATCTACTTCTACATTCAATTTGTTGTGGTATTTTTTTGTTTTGGCTGAAGAATGTGAAGAAAATCCAGCATCACATAGATATATAACTGGAAAAGGGAGTGCTTCTTTGTTCTTTTTTTTTTTTTTTTTTTGGGAGATAAAGTCTCGCTTTGTTTTCCAGACTGGAGTGCGATGGTGGGATCTCGCTCACTGCAACCTCTGCCTCCCAGGTTCAAGCGATTCTCCCACCTCAGCCTCCGGAGTAGTGGAATTACAGGCACCTGCCACCATGCCCAGCTAATTTTTGTATTTTTGGTAGAGACAGGGTTTCACTATGTTGGCTGGGCTGGTCTTGAACTCCTAACCTCAAGTGATCTGCCCGCCTTAGCCTCCTAAAGTGCTGGGATTACAGGTGTGAACCACTGCGTCCAGCCAGGAAGTGTTGTAATAGCCTTTTCAGGTAATTTTGGATTCTTTTTTCGTTCATACTGTACT